GCAGATTGTTGATATAGTCAATACTATTCTCCAGCACCGCAGCTCAAAGGCGTCAATTCTCCTTTTATCATCCCTAGTCATTGTCCAGCTCTCTGATGCATAGTAAGTAATTGTGCACCTTAGTCTCCAGACTGACATAGTTGCTCTTCAGTACTTTGGAGAGGTCTCTGACAGCTGACTTTCCCAGTGTAGTTTGTCTTTTAATTTCCTGGCTGCTGGTACCAAGACTGTTGCTTGTGGAGCCAAGCAAACTAAAGCTGTTTACAGTCTCAGTATCTTCACCATCTATCATGATGCTGTTGTTTGACCCAGTGGTGAGAATCTTTGTCTTCTTGATGTTGAACTTCAGTGCATATTGAAGGCTGCAGTCCTTGACCTTCTGCAACAAGCACTTTAGGTCCTCCTCAATTTCAGCAAACAGGGTTCTGCATAACAAAGACTGTTGATGAGTCTTCCTCCATTTCTGATGCCACATTTCTCCTCATAGATTGATTTATGAAATGAATCACCATTGATCTATGCGTGCTATTACCCTATCTTTTCAGGCCCCCACTGGATCTTTCTAATTTCTTTACCCACCCTTGCCCTCATCTCCTTGCCTACCAAACTCTGTTATTCTAGTGATCTCTCCCTCCCCATTTTCCTCTCCCTCTTGTTCCCCTCCCTTTCCCCTTATGGCCTTTTATACATATCGTACTAATTATCTATTTGTACAATAATTGTCTTATGCAGTACTTGTCTGTATGGAACTGAGTTCACACAGCATAATGTTCTCTAGACTCTTCCATGTTATAAAGTATTTTACAAAATAATTGCTCCTTAGTTCTATGTAGTATTCCGTTTTGTGAATATACCATAATTTCTCAATTTATTAGTTTTGTTGATGGGCATTTGGGCTGTTTCTATACTCTTGCTGTTGTGAATAATGCTGCCATGAACATAGGTGTACAAATTTCTGTTCGTGTATCAGTTCTACTTTCCTTGGGGTTTATTTCTTTTTTTTCTTTTTCTTTTATTTTTATCATTATTTTTTGTGTGTACCGTCAAATTGGATCTGACTGGTACAGGAGGAGATTGCCCTTCCTTCTCCAGAAGAGCATCTGGTGGATTCGAACCGCGTACTTCCTTGGGGTATATTTCTAGCAGTAGAATAGCTGAGTCATATGGGATATCTATGTTCAGCTTTTTAAGGAAACAGCAAACTGTCTTCCAGAGTGGTTGTACCATTCTACAGTCCCACCAGCCATGCATAAGAGTTCCAATCTCTTCACATCCTCTCCAATATTTACCACTTGGTGTCCTGTTAAACTTTGCTGCTGCTACTGGGTTAAGATGGTATCTCATCTTGTTTTTATTTTCATCACTCTGTCTGCCAGTGATTTTGAGCATTTCTTCGTATTTCTCTCGGTCACCTGAATGTCTTCCTCTGTGAAGAGTCTTGCCATATCATTTGTCCATTTTGTGGTATACTGTTGTAGTTAGGTGCTTTTGGGTCGACTCCCACTCATAGTGAAGGAGAAGGATGGGCAGTCTCCTCCCTTGCAATTTACTGCCTTTGAAAATCCACTGGAGGGTCAGCTATGAGTAGTTCTGACTTGACAGCAAACAACAACAAACCATTCGTAGCGACGCTCTGAACAACAGATCGGAAACGTGCCTTCCCCTGCACCATCCTCAGTCTCATCTGCTTGAGCCCATTGTTACAGTCACTGTATCAGCCCATTTTGGTGAGGATCTTCCTCTCTCAGACTCCACCTTTCCCAGCATATCTTTTTCTAAGGACTGGCCCCTCCAGGCAAGATGCCTATAGTAGTCCCTTTATTTTTTTTTTTATTGTTTCTTTAAAATGTTGTTGTTATGTGTCTGTGACTCATAGTGAGCCTATGTACAACAGCCCTAAACCCTGCTCTATCCTGTGCCAATCTTATTGTCTCTGACACGCCTTTCCTCATTAGTCCAGTCACTAAATCAATCCATCTCATCGACATTGAGGGTCCTCCTCTCCTGCACTGTCCCTCCACCCTCCCAAGCATGATGTCCTTCTCTAAGGACTGGTCCCTCCTTGCAGTATGTCCAAAGTATGTCAGATGAAGCTTTAGAATCCTTGCCTCCAAGGAGCAGCCTGGCTTCACCCTCTCCAGGATGTACTTGTTTGTCCTCCTAGCAGTCCATGGTATATTCAATACTCTTCTCTAGCACCACAGCTCAAAGGCATCAATTCTCCTTCTATCATCCCTAGTTATTATCCAACTCTCTGATGCTTAGAAAGTAATTTCAAAGACCATGGCCTGTATCATATGCACCTTAGTCTCCAGACTGACATCGTTGCTCTTCAGTACTTTGAAGAGGTCTCTGACAGCAGACTTTCCCGTTGCAATTAATCTTTTAATTTCCTGGCTACTTTTACTAAGAGTGTTGACTGTAGAGCATGGAGAACTAATGAATTTAAAATTTGTTAAAATCTTCTGTATTTGGAAACAACATAGTAATAATCAGTTATACACTTCTTATCTCGGCTAAAGTTTTCCTTAAGCCTGAGTCTTCTCTGTTGTGGCTACACAGTCTCGTCACTGACCTGCTAGGTGCTTGTTCGACTGCCTTCCATCACAGTGATTCACTGAGCCTGCTAGGGGCTGTTGGGCTCTGTGCAGAGTGTTCTGGAAACAGGAATCTTGTCCCTCTCTTTCCTTCAAGGCTTCCATTTGTTTGTGAATCTACAGTTCTCCTTGTTCCCAAATGATTCTGGTTATTTCTTGCCTCCAGATATTTGCCCTTGACATTGTATTTCTAGAGATCCTACTCCATTCCTCATACCCCATCACAACTTCCTGCAATTTAGTACCTGGGCC